ATCATGCGAGGTGCATATCGATTGACGTGAGTCACTCCGTGTCGACCTCGTCGTCTTGGTCGATTCTGAAATCGAGTGATTTTTCCCATTCTCTCTAAAATTCTCCAAAAACATCACTTTCTTCCAAAATACTTCTGAACCTATAAATATGCTTAAAACCTTCTATAATATAATAAAAAGTAATAAAAACACCAATATATCATGACTTAAAGTCGGTCAAACTCATGGTATATCAGCAGGAGACAATAAAATCTATGTAACTTAGCACTTAGAGGAATTTAGACAACTTTTCATTTTTTTAGTTGAGATGCGACTCAACTAGATTTTCAAGTCTTAGGTGGTTAGAACTTGGGAACTCGCCAAGAGCTCTTGTGCCCGTGGCTTTTACATATTGTAAACGCTCATATGTAGATTCAGAATAAGATATCTTTTGTTCTATTTTTCATTCTCGATTTTTTTTTTTTTGTTTTTGTATCATGATTACTTGACGTTTGGTGTAGCAGAAATCCGGGATCACATGGAGAGTTAGGGTTCCTTAGCTTTCCTCCAATTACGAAAATCGACAGTTAGAATTCTGGTTCTCCAATAGGAATACCATGACGAACTACATTTAGCAACACAATGAATCAGATTAATGGCTGGGCCATAAGAAGAAGGCAACGGAGTCATCACTACCATGATATTTTTGTTGCGATAATTGATACACTGGTGCCGGCGCTTCAGTTGAAAAGTAATCAATAAATTTGAAATTCCATTAAAAAAATGATGATTTTAGTTTAGCAAAATGTTGTAAACATATATTGACAAGATAACAACTGATAATAAAATAAATTACATATCAACCCTTTTATATTAATAAGCTTGAAAAAATATAAGAAAATGTTGTTGTAGAGTTATACTATATATAACTTCAAAATGTAAATAATCTATCTTAAAGGTTTACTGTAATATTAAATTAGACACATTTTTTTAAAACACCCGTCGAAACAGCTATAGATTTATCAAATGACAAATGTGTTACATAAAATAATTATTTTAAAAATCAACCGATGTGAAAATATTTAAAAGACAAGTAATCTTATTGATCAATAAAAAGTGAAACAAACACCGGGGATCAAATTCTAGTGTCCATTATGGAAACACAACCATCATTGAAAACCAGAAATCTTGGATAGATTTGATATGATCATTCTCACTTGAAATAAGCAGGTTTGAGGTAACGAAGAAATAAATATTTGAGCGGGTATTCAACGATTTCAGGACACACATTTTTCACTAAGACCATCCATTTCGTCCAAGATGGCTCTTCTATGCATGTCTCTCCTCTAGCAATACCTCTAAATATTGCTTTTGCGCATTTATTGACTGATTCTGATAGGATAAAATCTGAACCATACTGTAGTTTGCAATAAAGCATACAAAACACACACACAAGTAAGTATCTGACATATGTATATGTATGACATAAAGTATATTCAAATTGAGTTGTTGTTACTTACCTTTTCAATGAAGCGAGGAGTGGTCATATTTGTTGCTATAAATCCTGGTAAAATAATAACTATTTTGATATCCGGACTTAGTTCAACTCTTAATGCCTCAAAGAATCTTAATAAGGCTGCTTTACTTGCCTACAACATTAATTATCAGGTAACATCAATATTATGCAACTATTGTTAAGGCACGAACATTTTTTCCTGTATATAAGAACTAGGTAAAGGTTAATTTATGTTTATTTTATCTATGAGAAAATCTTACTGAATAGACGCTTGACAATGGCAAGGGTATATTTGCTGAACCAGAACTCATAACAATGATTTTTCCATTGCTCTTTCGAAGATGGGGAATTGCAAAGTAAGTGATGTATGCTGTGCCCCAAAAGTTGATATCCTTAACATACACACAAATTAGCTGAAGTATTCAATATAGAGGTTGATTGATCTTTGAATTTGAGTTTACACTTATATTGGTAACTATTGACATATGAGGATATGACGTGCCCAATATTGTGTTTCATGAAAAGTCATTAATCCATGTAGTAGTAGTAGAACTCCCAAGAAATAGAGTTTCTTATGAATATGTGTAATAACCGAAGTTAATTTGTTGCACTTTTGGAACTCTTTTCTCCCTTTTATATTAATCAAAAAGTTATTTCTATCTTACTGCTCTTGAAATATTATTTCCTTTCATTATGTTTTCTGCCCTAAATATATATCTTAAATGAGCGACATAATCAACCTTATTAAGCTCTATGATCTGGATTATATTCTCTCTTTCAATATCTAAATATTATGCATATTTAAAATATTATCACACGATTTCAGTGTTTTTAGAATATTTACGGTAATGTAAACGCAGAAGAGAAAAAAATTGATGCAAAGTGTTCGTTTGTATTTAAAACTAAAATTTAGGTTTTAAGAGATTATATTAATTTGATTATGAGGATGACTGTGATTTTCATAATAAACGGGAACACAAATTTAAATATTCGTGTTTGACACAAATAAGAATATACTACTTATAACTAAACTAATTAAGCATTTTATATAATATATGACTTCTAATATGGATCTTAAGAAGCTTACCATTATATGATTAGCGTCTTGAATTTGATTGAAATCTTCGAAAAGAACAGTCTGAAATACACCAGCATTGTTGATCAAGTGGTCCACTGTCTATATATTATAACTTGGTCAGATTCATGATATATAAAGAACTTTGATAACAAATTCCAAAATAGTTACTATTTCATTATTTGTGGTAGATACAATTAGGAGATGTTATATATGTTAGACTTATGTATATTATAAACAATGTATTCGTATACAACTGGTACTATATATGCTGGTCCTATATTACTAGTTTACTTCAACACTCAAAATAACGTATAAAGACTAATATTATTTCAGTAATATACGTATATAATCTTTATTTTCTTAGAAGTACTTACGTTTTCCGAAATGGTGAATCGTCTCGTCGATGAACTTCAAGCAGTCATCCACACTAGCAACATCACCAGGTATGATAATGACCTTACCAGATCCTAACTTCCGTGATGTTTCGGCTACTATCTCTAGACGATCCTTTCTTCGATCAACGAGAGCCAAATATGCTCCTTTCTTTGCGTACTCATATGCTACGTGCTTTATGTGAATTACTATATATTATTAATCTAGCAAAAGTTTAATAATTAATAATAGTATAACTAGATTTATTATAATAGTAATATTCAGTTTATAACTTTTCACAAATAACAATGTACTATTCACTACGGATCAGTCTATATCATCAAATGACTTAGCTACAAGAGACGACAAAATCCACGACATATTCGAATTTCATGTATAATAAACCATCGCTACATCGACCAGATCTATACAATTCATGTGGATGAATACAAGTAAAAATCGAAGGTACACGACCGATGAATCTACTTATCCTCATATTAGTCGCACATAGGGCTGAGCAAAAAAACCGAAACCGTAAATCCGAACCGAATCCGACCTGAGAAAAAGGAATCCAAACCGATCCGAACCCGACATAAATACCGAATGGATCTTGTTTTACGGTATTTCGGATTATGGGTTTTATCCGAACCGAACCCGAAACTAAATGGATGTCCAAAAAAACCAAAACTTTAAAATTTCAAAAAAACTTGTACCATATCCAATCTCAAATTCTAAAATGTATTTAAAACACATTAAGATATTATTGAATACCTACAATAATTAGTTATTATATGAATAATTAACTCAAATACTTAGTCTAATGTATAGTTTTATTTGGTTAGTATTAATGTTTATGTGTGACATTACATTTGAAGTTTAGTTACGAATAAATTTGTTTTGAAGTTTAAACAGTATTGTTGCTTTTAAGTTTAAATAGTATTTCATACGTTTATAGAATTTTTAGTTGTTAACTTTAATTTTTTTTATCTTTAGTTAAGTATGATTTTTTCGTTCATAAAAGATTTTGGTTTGTCATTAATCATGATATGTTTAGTGTTGTCATGTATAGTTCAAATACAAATCTTATATGGTTAATATACGAGTTTTACAATATTATTTTGAAGGACAATAATATAGTTTGAAGAAGATAAATAAAAAAATTTATTAAAATGATTGAAAATATATTGAGTTTAATCGAGTATAAATTAGTACTTTTAAAACCGATAACCCGATTAGTATCTGAAATCGAAGCTATTTCGGGTTCAATTGGATATTGGACATGTTACTAAACCCGGATCGAACCCGAGATAACCCGAACCGAATCCGACCCGAATTTTTATAATATCCAAATGGGACTGAAATTTTTAAATCCGAAAACTCGAAACCCGAATGAACGTGAACCGAAACCCGATTGGACACCGATTACACAGCCCTAGTCGCACAGAATACTACACATAATGACTGTAGTTAGTAACATATTGAAACATCCGAGCCATTAATACACCATAACTTGCAGTTAGTTACAAAAGCCAAAAATCGTTAATTAGATCTTAATCATGGAGCATATTAATCAAATGCCTAATGAATTATGAGTATATTTAGTATTTACTAGTCTCTGATTAATTACTTGGTCTACGCCGATTAAAAAAAATCAACTTAGCACAATAGAATAAAATAAATGAAACTTTAAAGAGGGTAAAAAGAAGCCTAGCACAACTTAGCCAACCTGTCCAATGCCTGAAGAAGCTCCGGTGATTAGAATTACTTTCCCGGATACGTTTTCCAAGCGAATATGCTTATAAAGACAAACTACAAGCTTTATCAAAAGATAATATGGGTAAAAGAGGAAGAGAAAGATGATGGTAAGAGGAGGAAGAAAAAGATTGAGAACGGTGTTAAGCATATCCATGTTGTTCGTTTGTAGAACCAACACCACTAGCACCTCTCTACCTATTTTTCCATTAAAATGTTCAAGCTTTACAGTATAAGGCAAGCCTATTTTGGTAGACGCAGAAGGTTAGAAGGGGAGGAAATGTCAATAACCCCCGATTAATGTAAACGCTGAGAGTTTGTTGGTCCTCATTAAGAAGTTGTATCTAGTTGAAGTAGCGTACCTCTATATTTAACATTCATTTACACTTTTCTTTTACAAGTATTGAGTGATTTGTAAATTTTATAAATAAATATATATATAGAGTAATTTGAAGGTAACCTAATTGAATTCTTGCACGTCTCGAATTTCATGCATCTCATGCATTTAGTCAAACAAGCATTTAAGTTTTTGAAAGTCGTGATGAGAATTTTATTTTGTAATTGATGGGATGGACACATGGTGTACATAATTGAAAAAAACTCCATGTGACTAAGTGATGGAGAGTAATGCGCAAGAATTAGAAGCAATTTGATCTATGTTATCTGTTATTCCATACGTGTAACAAGTGTTGTTTAAGGTTCCTACAGACGAATTAAAAAAAAAAAAAAAACTTTCTATTTTATTTTTAATTAATATATTATTTTTTATTTTTATTAATTATTAAACTTAAATAAAGACAGAAAAGGAAAAAAAATTAATATTTACTTTAAAAGTCTAGAATAACATTTATAATAAATCAAATTTCAAAAGTTAACGATACTTAATATGTAACAGAAGGATCATAACAAATGTATCAAATGATTGATTATAATGTCAAGTCTGGATCATTGCATATGATCGAATGGAGTAGATTTTTTTATCAAAAGGGTATTAGAGAAAATGGAATCTATAATATTTGAATAAACTGGATTATGCGATTTGTGTCATCTGTAAGATATCAAGTCCTTATGAATGATCAGTCTAGAGAAAAATATTTTCCCCAAGAGGAGCCTGCGTCAAGGAGATTCTTTGTCTTCTTTCATTTTTATCTCATACACAGAAGTCTTCGTTAGCCTTCTAATCATGCAGAAAGTCAGAGAAAGATAACATGTATACGTGTTTCTCGCGCTATCCCCTTAGTATCTCACTTGTTATTTGCTAATTATAGTTTTTTTTCTTTTGCAAGGAGGAACCCTGTAAATGCGATGAAGTTTTGAAAGTTGTAAAGGTTTATGGAAAGACTTTTGGCCAGTGTATTAGTTTTGAGAAGTCTTCGCTTCTTTTTGAGAAAAGGGCACCTGCAAATTTTAAGCAAGAGATTAAGGATACTCTATCTATTGATAATGAGAGTGGGGGGGGGGAATGGGTACTTACTTGGGAATCCCGAAGGATATTAGTGGATAGAAATGCAAGCTTTTCCTAAAGGAGAGGCTTGATCATAAAATCAATGGGTGGTCAGCTCGGTTACTGTCACGTGGAGGCAAAGAAGTCTTGATAAAGGCCATTGCATTAGCTCTCCCATCTTATGTGATGTCTAGTTTCCTTCTCCCATTGGAGATATTCGACAAATTAGCGAGTGCGATTGCTAAAATTTAGTGGAGCTTGAATCTGTCAAAGCGAGGCATGCACTGGGCAACATGAGATAAGGTTTGTATTCCAAAGGAGGAAGGAGGAATCTGATTTAGGCTGATCCATGAATTTAATTTGGTTTGATTGGAGAAGCAACTATGTAGATTAAATTAAATATCCGGATTTTCTTCTTGGGAGAGTATTGCGAGGCATGTATTATCGACATAGTTCACTCCTACGGGTGATAGAGGCATCTTCCCCATTTTATGTGTGGACAAGTTTAATGGCTTCTAAAACTCTCTTAATGTTAGGAATCAAGAAGAAAGTTTGTTCAGGGTACCAAATACGTGTTTTGGGAAGATTAGTGGATACCCTCAGTCTCGGCTAGACCGGCTCGTGCAACTAGCCAGGTGGTAAATCCAAGAATGTTAGTGAGTGATCTAATTCATGGATCTTCAAGAGTGTGGAATGTGAAGAAGCTAGAGAATCTTATTGTTCAGGAAGACATTCCACTCATCCGGAGTTTGGACATACGCCAATCCCATAGAGAAAACAAGTACAAATAGAGTTATACTCAAAATGGGATGTATACGGTGAAATCAGGAAAATAGGTTGCGACGAACATTCTAAAGCTGATAAATAACAGGGTATATCAACTCCCTCAATCTTAACCTTTTACTTTTCCTCAAGCAAAACAAGGCAGCCTTTAAAAGAGGTTTGAAAAGCAGGGACTCACAATATGTCTAAAATGACTAAACCTCATATGCCACACTCATATCTCATTATGCCAATTTCAGAGTACTTCATACCTTATCCTAGTATAGCAACCAGTACTAATAGCAACCAAATCCAATCTACCGATAACTTAGCAAATACTAGACTGACTCGCCCCTCTACTGACTTCATTTCTTACATAAAATAAATGTGTAAGCTTTACCTTGGGAGTATCGATGAAAAAACAATTGGACTCAACTCCTGCAAGTATCTGAACACATAAGTAAATAGTCTTCTCTGATCCCTTTCTTCCCTATTTCTCTCTTTTCTAAATCTTTTCTAATTCAATGCCAGTGAATTAAGACATGTACTAACGCCTTCCATCTTGTTCACCTTTATTGATTTTTTTTTCTGACAAAATATAGGCGAATAATGGAGCCATCGGTAATGTACCTGCCTCTCGCTTCCACAGTGTGTGATCATTCCTTTTAGAATAGTGGAGTTATTGGTAATGTACCTATCCCTCTGCATCTCAGAAAATCATCTCAATCTTTTATATTCCTAATAAATACCAAAGAGAGATTGAGAGAAGGGAACCAGAAACACACAAACTTTACACCTTCTAGACTTCCAGAAGGATTGCTACAGTGTATACCAAGCCCGTGGGAACCGAAATCCACACTGTCGATTTTCCGTCAAATATGGAAACTTAGGGTGAAACCCTAATTTTCCCGAGGTCCTGAATCTCTGCGAAAATCACTAAAACAAACGAATTTAAAAGAATATGGATGAACAATAAAGAATAGAGATTAAGAACTTGTGCGAAAGATTTTATTGAATTAGAATCGACAACTGTTACAAGAAGAATTGAAGAACTTAGACGTCGAAACGTTCTAAGGATCTGAATTGCTAGTCTAAACGCTAAGTCCTAAACTCCTAAGCTAACAGCCGTCTTTTTAGGTCTAATTTTCGTCCCCCTCTTCTGCCCTACGCCTCTGGTTTATATATTCCTTACCTTGACGGTTCGATCTTAAAATTTTGCCGGATTTGAGTATTTCGGGAATCTTCCATTTTTCTCGATCCTTACTTTTCTTCCGCGGAAATCTTCTATTTATCTTCAAACTTGCCTTTATTTTCCTTCTGCGAGTAAACCGTCAAAACGTTATCAAATCTGCGGGTTAGATTCCGTTGAAATCGCGAGATGGGTTTTTATCGCGTTTTAGGTCCTTCCAGGCCGTTTTGCGATAAAAAACCGTTTTCCGACTTTTTACGGGACCGTTTCTTGATCTGACGTCGTTTTTAATAAATTTCTCGAGTTAATCGCAAGGTTTTACGATTTACTCGACTTTTTATTAAAAACACGTTTTTACGACTTACTCGGCGTTTTTTATTAAAAACACGTTTTTTACGACTTACTCAGCGTTTTTTATCAAAAAAACGCGTTTTTATGATTTTAACGAGAAATATCGAATAAATCGTATAGTTTAGGCAATGTTCGGTGTTTCGTTTAACCGTTGCCGTTTTATACGATTTCCTCGAGTTCTTTCCGAGAAAGCAAAGTTTTACGGTTTTTATCATAAAACTCGAACGGTAAGTCGGATCGAGTTGGAACGGGAGACGTTTTAGCCGTAGTTTAGAATGCGATCGTGTCGAAAGACGTAAGTTTCGAATCGGGAATGCGGGAGATCGAGGCGCGGGATATCCGAGAAGTCTTTAGTTCGCCCATCGGCGAACTAAGCCGGGCCGGCTTAGTTCGCCGATGGGCGAACTAGTGGAGTGATTCTTAGTTCGCCCATCGGCGTACTAGTGGAGTGTCCTTAGTTCGCCCATCGGCGAACTAAGCCGGGCCGGCTTAGTTCGTCGATGGGCGAACTAGTGGAGTGTCTCCTAGTTCGCCCATCGGCGAACTAAGCTGGGCCGGCTTAGTTCGCCCATGGGCGAACTAGTCGTAACTAGTTCGCATTTTACGGCTGTTTCGTTTTTTTGCGGTATCGTAAAACGATTCTCGAATTTTATAAAACGATTCTTCGAGTTTTATAAAACGATTCTTCGAGTTTTATAAAACGATTCTCGAGTTTTATAAAACGATTCTCGAGTTTTATAAAACGATTCTCGAGTTTTATAAAACAATTCTTCGAGTTTTAAAAAACGATTCTCGAGTTTTATAAAACGATTCTCGAGTTTTATAAAACGATTCTCGAGTTTTATAAAACAATTCTCGAGTTTTATAAAACGATTCTCGAGTTTTCTAAAACGATTCTCGAGTTTTATAAAACGATTCTCGAGTTTTATAAAACGATTCTCGAGTTTTATAAAACGATTCTCGAGTTTTATAAAACGATTCTCGAGTTTTATAAAACGATTCTCGA